GGAAGATGCTGTGAAATGTGCTGGGGAAAATGCTGGAGAAGATGTTGGGGAAGATGCTGGGGAAGATGTTGGGGAGGATGCTGTGAAGGATGCTGTGGAAGATGCTAGGAAAATGCTATGAAAGATGCTGTGGAAGATGCAGCGATGGAAGAGGCTTGGGGAGGGGGGACTACGGTAAGTTACCTGGGCAGGAGAGGGCAGATGTATGGTTAACAACGCAAGTTGCAGAATCTTTATAATTCAATACATTCATGCTAATTATTCCTGACTAAACTTACAGGTCTATCAGCTGTAGTGCAGTCACCTAGCACTGATAGTGCATATCACTAGCTCACGTGGGTCATTGTAGGACTGCTGCTATAAACCCACATAGCATTACCTGATGAATGTCAATATGGGGCGCGTCCCGTCATGTATATATTCTAAAATTACTTCGAAAACCAGTATACATGTAAATAATACCATGGGATGGAGGATGAATACATATATAATATCTCAGTGTGATTTTGTAAATGGTCCAAGACGGACCGGAACGTCGTCAGGTTCTCTCTCACATGTGCGGGTTATTTGTGTATTGTTCCAATAACAGTATTGTTCCTTTTTGTTCTTTGTATAATATCTCTCACCAGTTACATGGACACATACTTCACACAGTTTCCAAGGTCCTAGACTGTCAATGAATGAAATAGTCACCAAACAAATCAGTCACACAGCAGTTCGGTCAACAAGGGACTGATTAACAAACAATGGGAGGAAATGTGTGTGTCAACTGGGTTTTGGCAAAACCTTCCAGATTCTTTTATCCCTCATACCTGAGTCTGTCAACATTCAGCTTCCAAACTGGGCCTATCATGACTCCCTGATTACCTGCGTCGCACTGACCTCATCTCAGGGCAGTGGCTAGAGGCTTTCCAGGTCACGTGTTTACTTTATCTCTGATCCTCCATGACCTGACCCAGCTGATGGATGCAATATGGTGTTTGTCGACTGGTGTGGATCGCATGCTGGGTCAAAATTAACCTAAATTGCCGGGAATGCTCTGCATAACCAAGGGCTTCCTATATAGTGTTACAGATGTCAGTAAAGGTCAGTATTAGTTGTATCATGTACTTGTAAAAACAAAATAAAAAGAACTGCTAGGATGGGGCCAGCGTTATTCTATAATTTAAAATAGGGATAAAAATCGTATCCCACATCACAGGAAATTGAATGGGCAAGGCCAGGAGGAGTTACCTGGATCAGGGAAGCTGGAAAAGCTACCTGGTAGGAAAAAATAGGGGAGTTGCCTTGGCAGGGGTAGGGGGCGTTTCCTTGGCAGGGGTATAGGGAGGGGGTGACAGTGTGAACCAGGCAGGGAGGGTGACGCCGGCAGGATGAAGTCAATAACCATGTAGTTAAGTCATTAGCTTCAGACTCTGTGTGGACCCGACTGTCCCTACTGGTCTTAGTGTTGGGTCTGGTCATGCTAGACCCGGCTATCTTACTTAGCTAATCCTTTATTATTAACTGGCTAATAAACCCCGGGCAAAAGTCTCGGTCTTTCATAATTATACTTATTTAACTGATTATAGTAACAAAATATAATTATTAACTTAACTAATTTCCTGCTTGTGCAGTTTTGTCAAAACAATGGAAGTTAAATAAGAATGTGTTACCTAAATTGTAATTAGTGTGCTTACTTAACTAACCAGTTAATAATGTGGTTAGTAACTTATCTGCTCGATTGGCTCATTAAGTTTAGAGCCTATCGACTACACGAGGGTCATTAAGGCTGCAAGTTACCTGTGCACCACTAGTCAAGAACTCTTTACTTTCTTAAACTGGATTATATATATATATATATATATATATATATATATATATATATATATATATATATATATATATATATATATATATATATATATATATATATATGTCGTGCCGAATATGTAAAACTGGTCAATTAGCAAGAACTCATTTAAAATTAAATCCTTTTTGAAATTTTCTCTTGTACGTTTAAAGATATATTTTTTTTCATTTATGTTAATGTAAAAATTTATAATTTTTCACCAAAAGAATCTTAGAAAACTTACCTAACCTTATTATAACAAGAGCAATTTATTTTAGCCTAACCCAACTAAATATATTTTAAATACGTTTACAATAATTTAGTACTAAACAAACACAATCAAATATATTTTTTTCGTTAGGTTCAGAATGATTTTGACGAAATTATTGCATACACAAATTTTCACTTGTCCTATATGGCAAGATGAACGTTGCTATTTAAGCCAAGAGCGCAAGTTCTGCCTATTCGGCACGACATATATATTATATATATATATATATATATATTTTATATATATATATATATATATATATATATATATATATATATATATATCACAAAATTCTCCACACCTGCTCAGGTGTACATCACATGTGTAGCTTAAGTGTTCTTGTACATTAGTTCTTGAGTAGGCGTTACCAGTACTCCAGGCTAGACCTCCGTGTCGTCACCCACAAGTCGGAGGGTGAGAATGGTTGGTTTAGAAAAAGACTTGCCTAGTATGGGTCAGTAGGCCTTCTGCAGCGTTCCTCCATTCTTATGCTGTATTATGGATGATGTTTCAGTCCTCTGTGGACCATTATCAAGTCACAGTCATGTGTACTGACGATGGTCTAGGACGGAGCGAAATGTCGTCGTAAGGTTTCTCGCGTAGGTGCGAGTTATGGCGAGCTGTTCCACCCACGGAATTGTGACTATTTAATTATGTCTTTGTTTTTTAAATGAGGGCGTCTAACTTAGCTGGGGTAATTAAGCGGATAAACCATACCACGGGCGGGGTTAGAACCCGCGATCAGAGAGTCATAAAACTCCACACCGACGCGTTAGCCACTGGGCCAGTTTTATGACTCTCTGATACGCGGGTTCTAACCCCGCCCGTGGTATGTTTTTTTTTTTTTTTCAGCGGACACTGAACCATGTGATCAGTGCCAGGAGACACTTGTCCTCTTCCTCGATTCCGGAAACATTCTCATGCATTCTCTCAGCCTCTCTCACCAGTCCACTCTAGAGTTTTGACTCACATTATTAAGGTTCAAGTTCGACTCCATTTTGGTCCCCTCACTGGAATGAAGTTCCCGTCACATGACTTATGAAATCGTAAGCACCTGACTGCACACAAATCACGGAGTGGATTGAGTTCGAGCCCGTGGCAAATAAGCCCTAAAACTCATCTCGCCATGGGGAAGCACTAAATCCGTAAGGGGGCCATCCTGTGCTCCATCAGATCAAATAAGAATTAAAAATAACTGATTTAATTTAGATAAATTTAGATTTAAAAAGGACATAGGCAAGTAACGGTTTCCAAAGAGAGTTGTTGATGCGTGGAACAATATTCCAGGTACGGTAATAGAAGCTAAGACTTTGGGTTTCATCACATCCTCCCCCCAGTAACCTGACATCATCACTCCTCCCCCAGTAACTGAGTATCATCACCCCTCCCCCAGTAACTGAGTATCATCACCCCTCCCCCAGTAAATAAGTATCATCACCCCTCCCCCAGTAAATAAGTATCATCACCCCTCCCCCAGTAACTGGGTATCAACGCCACCATCTCGCTGGAAGAAGCCTCTTTCCCTCTTTCCAACTACGTAAAGGTATCGTTTAAAAGAAAAAAACTGCTTTAATCTGGTAGAACCGCTCTCTGGGACGCAGCTCAGGCAAAATTCTAATTATGAGAAGCCGTGATGAGAGGAATTTAATGAATATTGATCAGCGGGCTACCAGTCTGCGGATTATCGCCATAATTCTGCGGTCGATTGCAGATGGAATTTTCAGGAAGATGAAATTTCTCAATTATTGAAATCTTCTGATGCAGCACTTAATGAGAGTGAAGCTTTGGATTGTAGATCCTCGCTTGAGTCACCACTGACAACTCTGACACTAAGCAGCACCACTGATACTCTTTCTGAAGCTGTGATGCAGCACTTACACTCTTCCGGAAGCTGTGATGCACCACTGACAGTTCCTGAAGCTATGATGCAATATTGACAGTCTTCCTGAAGCTGTGACGCAGCATTGACAGTTTTTCTAATGTAGAGAACACTTCTCATTGTCTGCCCAGAGAGTGTTTCTACCTCACTGTTTACCCAATTTGTGAATTCGAAAAAATATATTTATTTCCCTATTTTCCTCACGCAGTTTTCCCCTTTTCTTACATGTGATTTCTTAGTTCATTGTTAATGTCGATTAAATCAACCATCACATGTGCCACTAACAACGCTGCTTCCAGATATTCAGACCTGGTATGAACTGTCAGCACCCGTCTCTGTTATGATTCTTCGAGTTATTTAAGATTAACAACCAGCTGTGCTGGCGGCCACTCCTCCCTCCTACCCCGTGACTTAGCGTGTTTCATAACACAGAACCGAAACGTCTGCTAATAAACATGTCCTAGTGTTTTCCCACGTGTCTTTTTAAACCAATATACCCGTATCAGTTACCAAAGTTTATACCATACTGTTTCATATATTTCTCCTATACGATTTTATTTATGTTGGATATAATACCTACAACTAAGGATCCAGCGACGGTAAAACACCACTTGTCTCACATATGAGGCACGTAGAAATACGTAATCAACTTTGACAATCAAGAGGGAAGATCAGAGTAGCGCATCTCGCATTGTTTGGCAATCAGGTATAAAAACAAACTCTCTTAACACGTAGCAATATTATCTTTTTACAGTTTCACGAAGCTGGAACACAATAAGAAATCCACCGGTTTCCTGATACGTATGTGACAGCCAATTCTCTTCCCTTTTATACAGTTTACTCATCATTACCTTGTGTCCTCAGTGCCTCTCGATCCTTAGCGAGGTATTCAGATATGGAATCATCTATACTCACACTCTCGATTAATTCTTGTGTAGTCTTCTTTGATCGCTGGATCGTCTCTCATCTCTCTTAATTAAGTCTCGAGACATGGACAAAAAAGTGAATTTTCAACTTACTCTGCTGCGAGAAACATCAGCTGTGTTGTCTCATTTCTTTCTTCGGTCTCCAACGCGGGTTCATTACAGCATCAGCTGAAGACTCCATAATTTCTGAAATGAAATAAAAAGACTTGTAATAATAATAATAATAATAATAAATAATAATAAACTCACGAACAATAATAATCTCCCGAATAATAATAATATAATAATAGTAATATAATAATAATTATATACTCTCTTTATCTTGCTCTTGACGTTGATCCTATTAAGCGATTTTAGAGGAAGTGAAAACAAACACTGACGCTGTATTATTAATTAGACGGAGAAAGTTCTTGCAACTTGGCTTCCTCATTTCTCGTGTTAGTTAATAAGACACATATGCAATATTTACGCAAAGAGACATATATGCAACACTTGAGTATCTTCATTTGCAGAAAAATTTCTCCCGTACAGTGGACATCTTCAGTCCAATACGTAGGATAACAGCTCTTAGCCTGTAAATTTCAACGTGTAAAAAAAAAAGATGATTTTAATATTGTATTAGCTGAAGAAGTTTGTTGTAGAGGCGAAAGGTTTTGACATATAAAGATAGCCAAGTGTTGAACACGTGTCTTCTTACTCTTCCCCATTTCTGTCTTCTCTTCTAGATCCACCATCATCTTCATCTCTAGCATGGAGTTGGGAGCCTCATCGCATACTGCAAACAGTATTAAGCAAAGACATACGTTGTAGAAGCAGCTTTCACTGGTACAATGTTTCGTTCATGGCTTAATGAAGCTCTAATGTAGAGGAACGTCATTCCAGTAATACGTAGTTTGTTCTTCAACGTGAGTCTTCTGTTTAGTCATGACGTGTAAACAAATAGAGGGAAAGAACCTAATGATTATGAATAAGGTACCTTGGGAAACACCTGTCTTTATTACCCAGGTACATGAATAAGGTACCGTGGGAAACACTTGTCTTTATTATCCAGGAACCTGGCAGAGATATCATTGAATGTATGTCTCTGTAACTTACTTTTCAAGACGATAGACAGTGGCATTAACCAGCAGAGAAAAACCATCACCCCACAGCGAATAATTGAATTTTTCCCTAATCAAACTGCCGTTGCATTGTGGATTTTTCTCCTGTGTATACAAACTCCGTTTAATTGAGGTCCATTAAATCAAGGATCCCCAAATGGACGATTTACGGCAATTCACTGCAAACAATCCACGATACAAAATATACGGTTCTGCCGACGAGATATTGTCAATTTGAAAGTGATGTTGCTGGCTTCAAAGATCCTCTTAGCACAGCAGTTCCAACAATCTCAGTTATGATATACAGAGTGCAGCTTGATGAAAGCCTCAGTGTGCAAATTGTTCCAGGAAGTCAGTTGAAGACGAGCTTCTTTAAGTCCCCTGAGCGCCGCAAATGAATGCATTCACTGAAGGATCACGCATGAAGAATAAGTCTCAGTACCCTGGCTGAAACAGCTTTCCATTAACTTCAGGTGACGTTTAGTTTTGTCCTTGACTGTCAAGTCGTGATTATTATTCAGGACAGACCAAATGATAGTCTAAAATTTCCTCTCCTGTTTATGGATCAGCTGCGAAAGGATTACACACACACACACACACACACACACACACACACACACACACACACACACACACACACACACACACACACACACACACACACACACACACACACACACGTCTGTTTACAACTTTATGAAAAACCTCGTCCCAAGGCTTCTCCATTTTTATGCTCTTCAGCAAAAAAAGCAGTGATGAATATCACACGCTTGTCACACACCAGTGTACCAACTGCTAGTTATTTTGCAACTTTTTTTTAACATTTGGCATCATGCAGGAGAGGTAAATGAGCCTCGTTGGTGCTATAATGTTAGAGAAAGTTAGAGAAAGTACAAAGGTTTGCAACAAGGCTAGTCCCAGAGCTCAAGGGAATGTCGTACGAGGAAAGGTTAAGGGAAATCGGACTGACGACACTGGAGGACAGAAGGGTCAGGGGAGACATGATAACGACATACAAGATACTGCGGGGAATAGACAAGGTGGACAGAGATAGGATGTTCCAGAGAGGGGACACAGGGACAAGGGGTCACAACTGGAAGCTGAAGACTCAGACGAGTCACAGGGACGTTAGGAAGTATTTCTTCAGTCATAGAGTTGTCGCAAGTGGAATAGCCTAGCAAGTGAAGTAGTGGAGGCAGGAACCATACATAGTTTTAAGAAGAGGTATGACAAAGCTCAGGAAGCAGAGAGAGAGGGACCCAGTAGCGATCAGTGAAGAGGCGGGGCCAGGAGCTGATTCTCGACCCCTGCAACCACAATTAGGTGAGTACAATTAAGTGAGTACACACACACACACACATATAATGTATATATATTATATATATATATATATATATATATATATATATATATATATATATATTATATATTATATATAATATATATATATATCCTAGGTAGTATTTTGGTAGACAGCAACCGCCCAGGGAGGTACTACCGTCCTGCCAAGTGAGTGTAAAACGTAAGCCTGTAATTGTTTTACACGATGGTAGGATTGCTGGTGTTTTTTCTCTCATAAACATGCAAGGTTTCAGGTACGTCTTGCTACTTCTGCTTACACTTTGGTCACACTACACATACATGTACAAGAATATGTATACACACCCCTCTGGGTTTTCTTCTATTTTCTTACTAGCTCTTGTTCTTGTTTATTTCCTCTTATCTCCATGGGGAAGTGGAACAGAATTCTTCCTCCGTAAGCTATGCGTGTTGTAAGAGGCGACTAAAATGCCAGGAGCAAGGGGCTAGTAACCCCTTCTCCTGTATATATTACTAAATGTGAAAGGAGAAACTTTTGTTTTTCCTTTGGGCCACCCCGCCTCGGTGGAGATAACGGCTGGTGTGTTGAAAGAAAGAATATATATATATATATATAATATATATATATATATATATATATATATATATTATATATATATATATATATATAATATCGTGCCGAATAGGCAGAACTTGCGATCTTGGCTTAAATAGCAACGCTTATCTTGCCATATAGGACAAGTGAAAATTTGTGTATGCAATAATTTCGCCAAAATCATTCTGAACCTAACGAAAAAAATGTATTTCACTGTGTTTGTTTGGTATTAAATTATTGTAAACTAATCTAAAATATATTTAGTTGGGTTAGGCTAAAATAAATTGTTCTTGTTATAATAAGGTTAGGTAAGTTTTCTAAGTTCCTTTTGGTGCAAAATTATAAATTTTTACATTAACATTAATGAAAAAATATATCTTTAAACGTATAAGAGAAAATTTTAGAGAGGACTTAATTTTAAATGAGTTCTTGCTAATTGGACCGTTTTACATATTTCGGCACGACATATATTATATATATATTTTATATATAATATATATATATATAATATTTAAATATATATATTATATCTTTCTTTCAAACACCGGCCGTATCCCCCCGAGGCGGGGTGGCCCAAAAGGAAAAACGAAAGTTTCTCCTTTTAAAATTTAGTAATATATACAGGAGAAGGGGTTACTACCCCCTTTGGCTCCTGGCATTTTAGTAGCCTTTTCCCAACACCCCATGGCTTACGGAGGAAGATTCTGTTCCACTTCCCATGGGAGATAAGAGGAAATAAACAAGAGCAAAAACTAGAAATGAAAATAGAAGAAAACCCAAAAGGGGTGTGTATGTATATGTTTGTACATGTTATATGTAGTGTGACCTAAGTGTAAGTAGAAGTAGCAAGACGTTACCTGAAACCTTGCAGGGTTTTTGAGACAGAAAAATGGACACCAGCAACCCTACAATCATGTAAAACAATTACGGCTTTCGTTTTACATCACTTGGCGGGCGGTAGTACCTCCCGGGGCGTTTGCTGTCTACCAACCTACTCCCTTAAATATATTATATATATATATATATATATTTATTATATATATATATATAATATATATATATTTATTATATATATATATATTATTTTTTTTATTATCACTTTGGGCCGATTCCCACAAGGCAGGGTGGCCCGAAAAAAAAAACTTTCACCATCATTCACTCCATCACTGTCTTGCCAGAAGGGTGCTTTACACTACAGTTTTTAAACTGCAACATTAACACCCTCCTTCAGAGTGCAGGCACTGTACTTCCCATCTCCAGGACTCAAGTCCGGCCTGCCGGTTTCCCCGAACCCCTTCATAAATGTTACTGTGCTCACACTCCAACAGCACGCAAGTATTAAAAACCATTCGTCTCCATTCACTCTATCAAACACGCTCACGCACGCCTGCTGGAAGTCCAAGCCCCTAGCACACAAAAACCTTCTTTACCCCTCGCTCCAACCTTTCCCAGGCCGACCCCTACCCCGCCTTCTTCCACTACAGACTGATACACTTTTGAAGTCATTCTGTTTCGCTCCATTCTCTCTACATGTCCGAACCACCTCAACAACCCTTCCCCAGCCTCTGGACAACATTTTTGGTAATCCCGCACCTCCTCCTAACTTCCAAACTACGAATTCTCTGCATTATATTCACACCACACATTTCCCCTCAGACATGACATCTCCACTGCCTCCAGCTTCTCCTCGCTGCAACATTCATCACCCATGCTTCACACCCCTATAAGAGTGTGGTAAAACTATACTCTATACATTCCCTCTTTGCCTCCAAGGACAAAGTTCTTTGTCTCCACAGACTCCTAAGTGCACATCACCCTTTTCCCCCCTCATCAATTTTTGTTTCACCTCATCCTTCACAGCCCCACCGCTGACCGTCCACCCCAATACTGAATCATTACCCCCATTATATATTATAATTTATATTATATAAAATTTAATATATAAATTATATTTTTTATATATATAAATATTTTTTGTATTAATTATATTTATAAAATATATAATATATAAATATTATTATATTTATAATATAATATATATATTATATGTGTGTGTCTTAATGACAAGAAAGTTTTTGCACATGGATTTACAAGCTTGAAAATCTGAAATAAAAGGGCTTGATGCGTCTAATTTTATAACTCACAAACCAGTGAATGCTATTACATGTTGT